GTTCCAGGAGTACTATTTTTTAGGTGCAGGGAGTGAGTGTGTGTGTGTGTGTGTGTGTGTGTGTGTGTGTGTGTGTGTGTGTGTGTTGGGGGGTAGGTGGTTCAACAGGTTTATGGAAAAAAATCTGTTATTGTTTAATTCCATTTTCCCAGTCTTTTGAAGCCTTCTGGTCCATAAGAGAAATGAAAACATATTTCACATAATCAATAGGAATGTTCAAAGCAACTGTTTAGTTGTCTAGCACTGCTGTAATGAAAACCAAACCAAACAAATGTGTAGCTTTCAAAAACAGAACTTTGTTTTCTCAGAGTTGAGGAGGCTGGAAGTCTAAATTCAGAGCTGGGCTCTCGCAGAAAGCCTTTCTTATCTTCTGCCAGCAACTCCTGGTGTTCTTTCCCCTCTGTACATGCTGCTATTTTTATAACGCAGGTGTGCTAATCTGGTGTCAACATGAGACTATTAAGAGTGAAGGGGTGGAGTTTAGCCGGTCAATCAGGTCGCAGCTTGATGACCTCATTTGGAGGCACTACTGAGGTAAATAGTTCGCTGGAGGCTTGACACACTCTCCCTGCAAGACATTCCAGTTGACAAGACACATGGAGCTATGCTGATACAACCAGAGTCCTGGAGCTGGAGGAGCCACATGTTGAGATGCTTCCACTGCCAACTGGATCCACAAGACTTTCCACCCACTGGCCTGTGGTCTTCTTGCATTTGGTGTCATTGCATGTGTTGCATGAGTCTGAAGAGGAATTTATAGATTAGTACCAGACATATGGGCTAATATCAGACTTATGGACTTGATCTGGACTGAGCTGGGATATTTTCTAATATATAATTATTCTCTATATAAAGCTCCTCCTTGTACACATATGAGTGTCCATGAATTTGTTTCTCTAGTCCACCCAGACGGGCACATCAGGGATTAGGTTGAGGAGTCATTCTAGTATGCTCTCATTAGCATAACAAAGGAAAACTGTGTCTGGATCCATAAACACTGGGGCCAGAACTTCAGTGCATGTTCAGAGGAGGTAGGGGTGGGGGAGCACAATTCAGTCCATTGCAGCAGCATTATTCATAATCACCAAACAGTAGAAACAACTCAAATGCCTATCAGCTGATGAATGGATAAATAAAAGAAGTACTAACATATTACAACATGGATGAACCTTGAAAACCTTGAAGCCAGTCACACAAAAAACAAAAAAGAATAAACCAATTAAAAAAAAAAAAAAGATGCCGGTCCCCAAAGACCACATATTGTAAGAATTCGTTGATATGAAATGTCCAGAAAGGGCAAATCTGTCTAGGGAGAAACAAGGACTAGGGATAAGGACACTGCCAGGGGTGATGGCTAAGGGAGGTGGGGTTTCTTTTGTTGTTGTTGATAGGTGTGGTCCAGTCAGTACCAGTGCCTGTAACCCGATAGACAAAGGAGGGAAACACTGCCGAATCCTGTGTTGTCTTCAGGGGCTTTAAAGTCAATTAAATGGTTCTAGACTGGACTGTGGTGAGTATTATAAAGGCTATTGTATCATAGCCGTAAATGAGTGAACCGTATGGCATGTGAATTATAGCATAACAAGCTGTTAAATATTTACTATTGACTCAAGTACAGTCATGAGAGTGAAGATAACACAATGAAGAGGCAGAAAAACTAAAAAGATAGTGGAAGTAAAGAACTATAAGAAAAATGAAGAAATTAGGAAGAGGGAATGAGAAGGGTAGGAAAAGGCCAAAGTTCATCGAACAGTAGAAAGGAAAAGAGAGAGACCTTGTGACACAGGAGGAAGGATACGATGAAAGGCAACAGAAAAAGAAAGAAAAGGAGAGAACGACTAACAAAAGGATAATAGGAAGAGAAAAAATACAAAGGGAAACAGATACTGCTGGGCAAATATTTTAATATTAAAAAATAAATGGGAAATATGGGAAGAAATAAGGAATATCCATTTTGGATGCTCAAAAACATTTCTTAATAAATAGAAGAGATTGTTATGTTTCAATCATCCTAGTATTTGCTGGGACCTTTTAGTGGGGTCACCATGAGTCAGAATTGATGCCATAGGTAGTGGGTTTTTATGGACAGTTCATTAGTGGCTTCTAGGACTCAATAATTACATATAGCAATAATGATACAAGAAATTACACCCAAACAACAGCGCTCCAATGTCTCCGTCGCCCCTTCCCGAGAGTAAAAAGAATTGGGTAAGGAAGGGAGGGGAGAAAGGGAGAAAGGTAGAGGAGGTTCATTTAGATAGAGTTTCTTAAGACAAGAGAGAGAATTCTCTCAGGTGAACTTTGGAAATCCAGCATCACTTTTCTACTAAACATTGAATAATTAAAACAAAGGATCAGACATCAGGAAGAGATTACCAAAAATCATATCCTATATTCTATTGCTACTTGCTCTATTACACCTAACAACGACATTACTACTGGTGGGAGAAAGTCAGGGCTTTCTACTCGCTTAAAAAGTTACAGTCTTGGAAACTCACCGGGGCAGTGCTACCCTGAACTATAGGGTTAATATGAGTCGATGGCAGAGAGATTGAGTTAAAAAAAATTTTTTTTACTCCTTTAATACAGAAGGAATATGATTCAAAGGGATGATGTAACAATATTACAGGCATCTCTGTCCACATAAGACTTTCCCCATGATGACTCCTAATATTACTTCCTATCTGTTAGACATCCTGAAGATTCCTAGTGGCTTCTTTTGTGGAAAAGAGGATACAAATAGAATAAACCAGTAAGCCTGGATGCATTTTTCAACAATCAACGGGGTGGTTTTTTTAAAACTTGGAATGAAGAAGAAAAACAAAAGTAAACTTAAAAAAAAATCATTTTATTGGGGGCTCATACAGACTACAGTTAACTTTGATATAGTAAATGTAACCCCGAAAACTTCTATTTAAAAAAAAACTGACAAAATATCTTATATTTTCAAATATACACAATTTCTTGATACTATTCAATCAATTTATTCTGTGGCTTGGACATAATCATAATTTGGTACCGAGTTGGAATCTTAGAAATCAAGATTCATTTAATCCCTGGGAAATTCCAGGGACAACAAAACTTCCAAATGAAATCCAGAGAGATTATTTGGGAATATTTCAGGAGCATTACTCCCTGGAGATGACAGATTATTTCTGTCAACACCAACGTTGGAAAGGGCGGCCCCTAATTCATGGCAAACAGTTGATACAGTGAATGCCGTCTTCCATTTCATTAAAGTTCTGAAAGGACAAACTGATCTGTCTTGGAAGAAATAAGACCGGAGTACTCTTAGAGGCAACGAGGGCCGGACTTCATCTGACATACTTGGGTTATGTTGTCAGGAGAGACCAGTCTCTTGAGAGGAACATTGTGCTTGGTGAAGTGGAGGGGCCTGAAAAGGAGGAAGGCCTTCAACAAGATGGATTGGCACAGTGGCTGCAACAATGGGCTCAAGCAGAGGACCAATTGTGAAGATGGCACAGGATCGGGCATTGATACCTTTTGTTGTGAATAAGGTCATTATGGGTTGGAGCTGACTCAATGGCACCTAACAACAACAACAACACAACAGATCAGTGTAACAGGCTTGAGGACATGTTGTTTAATGAGAATTTCAGAGTCTGACATCTTTCCCTTCCAGAGAATTAGTAACCACTAGCTCCTTCAACAGGGGCCCCAGTGGTGTGGTGGGTTATGTGTAACTAATGGCAGCTAATGGCTGTTTGAAACCAACAGCCGCTCTTAGGAGAAAGGTGGGGCTTTCTGCTCCTGTAAAAATTAAAAGCCAAATGGGGAGCAGATATCAGAGGCTCAAGTGGGAAGAGAATGCTTTGAAAATGATGATGGCGGCATATGTGCAAATGTGCTTGACACACTGGAGGAATGCATGGATTGTGATAAGAGATGCAAGAGCCCCCAATGAAAGTATTTTAAAAAATTAAAAGCCTTGGAAATCCATGGGGGCAGTTCTACTCTATCCTGTCCAGTCGTGATGAGTCAGAATTGGCTTGATGGCAGTGCGTGTGCGTGTGTGTGGATTCTTCAAAACGTGAAGAGTCTTCTACGATCTAACGCTGGATTTGTTGTTAGGTGCCATTGGGTTCTTCCTGACCCGGGTAACTGTGGGGAACAGAAAGAAGCTCTGGTCCATCCTGGGTCTTCCTAACAACCAACCCTGTGCTCGAGCCCATTGTTGCAGCCCCTGTGTTAATCCATCTCATTTTGGCTCTTCCTCTTTTTCACGACCCTCTACCTCACCCAGCATGAGGTCCTTCTCCAGGAACCGGTTCCCTGATAACCCAAAGTATGCGAGTGAAAGTTTCCCTATCCTTGCTTCTAAGAATCATGCTGGCTGCCTTACTTCCAAGAGAGGTTTACTGGTATTTGTTCTTCTGGCAGCCTATGAAATACTTAATATTCTTCACCAACGCCATAATTCAAATGCAAATTATCATTTGCTCAGCTTTAACCTGCTTATGAGGTGACTGAAAATACTCTGGCTTGGGTCAGACATGTCTTCAAAGTGACTTAATTGGTTTTTAACACATTAATATCATTTGCAAGTAAAATTTAGCCAAGGGTAATTCAAGCTTGATTGCATCAGGGCAACCAGGAATTTTTTTTTCTTAATTCAAGCCAGATTCAGAAGAAGACATGGAAATCAGGAATGTCATTGCTAATATAAAATAGATCTTAGCTGACAGCAGAGAAACCAGAGATGTTTATTTGTGTTTCATTGACTATGCAAAGGCGTGAACCATGTGGATCATAACAAATTATGGATACTATTGAGAAAAACAGGAACTTCAGAACACTTCATTGTGCTCATGTGGTTCCTTTACACAGTTCAAGAGGCAGCAATTGGAACTGAACAAGGAGGGACTGCATGGCTTAAAATCAGGAAAAGCATATATCAGGTTTTAGCTTTTCACACCATACTTATTCAATATCTGTATGCTGAGCAAATAATTTGAGAAACTGGACAATATGTTACCAGGATTCATGGAAGGTTCATTAACAGCAGATGGCACAACCGTGCTTGCTGAACGCAAAGAAGATTTGAAGCACTGACTGATGAAGATCAAAGACGAGATCCTTCGCTATGGATTAGAACTCAATGTCAAGAAGACCGAAATCCTCACAACTGGACCAATAGCAACATGGTCAGTGGAGGGAAGATTGCAGTTATCAAGGATTTCATTTTACATGGCTCCAAAATCATGTTCATGGAAGCAGCAGTGAAGGAATCAAATGATATATTGCATTGGGTAAATCTGCTGCATAAGAGCTTCAGCACTTTAAAGTGTTGAAGAGCAAAATGTCACTTTGGTGCCTCTGTCCCAATCCATGGTATTTTAGTGACCACGTATGCATGTGAACACTGGACAGTGAATAAGGAAGGCCAGAGAAGAACTGATGCACTTGAGTCAGGGGCTAGTGGAGAGTACTGAAAGCACGTGGACTGCCAGAACAAACAAATACGTCTTGGAGGAAGTACAGCCAGAAGGCTTCTTCGAAGCACGGGTGGTAAGATTTCATGTCATCTACTTTGGAGGGACTCGTCCCTAGAGAAGGGCGTCACGCTCGGTAAAGTGGAGGGCCGGCAGGAAAGAGGAATACTGTCAACAAACTGAATGGCTGCCACAATGGGCTCAACCGACAATGATCAGGCTGGTGCAGGCCTGGGCAGTGTGCCATTCTGCTACACATAGGTCGCTATGAGTCAGAACCAACGGGGCAGCAGCTGGTGACAGCAAGCCAGCCTGTGAGTAGACACTGAGCCGAGGCGATGACCTTGCAGGAACGAGCTAGGACACAATGAGGAGCAGGAGACAATAAGTGCTAGCGGACACTGGTACCTCGCCAACTTCTCACTTCGGGGTTGCCTTGGTGCTGGGGAACTTCTAGGAGGTGAGAAAGTTAGGAGAATTAAACATGTAGATGAATAAAATTGCCACCCTTAATCTGAGATGTCTTAGAGCAAGTCTAAGAGCATTAGTCTAAGAGCATGTTCTAATGAAAAACTTCATTACTGTCTAATGAATCAATTTAATTTAATGAATTCTTAAATAATATGCTTAGGTATATTGCAAGCTGGAAGGAAATTGCAACAAGCAACTCTTCAGCTAATTTTAGAGGTAGGTGATTTTTCGCAATACTTATGTGAAATTCTTGTGAACAAAAATGCTACCCCTAATGGTGATGTAATTGGAGGAGAATATAGGTAATGATCATAAATGATCCACATAGTGTTATCAAATTACAACATGTACGAACAGTTGACTTGGCAAATGTTTTATATATGATATAAAATGGAAAATATAAAATGTGTACAGTTATACACATTTCTAAACGTCTAATATTTCAGTACCCTGAATAGATATATAAATTTGGTGAAGTTTCCAAGTCATTTTTGCCTTTGGATGTAAGATTGTTATTTGGGAACAGGAAAATTTCTATTTTGTTTCTCACTCACTGCCATCACATTGATTGGAGTCCATAAGTTCAAACAGCGGTTCTCCTACTGCCATGACCCTTTCTACAGTCCCTCATGTGGTGCTGACCCCCAACCATAAAATTATTTTCGTTGCTACTTCATAACTGTCAGTTTGCTACTGGTATGAATTGGGCAACCAGTGTGAAAGGGTCGTTCGACTCCCAGTGCCCCTGTGGGTTTCTGGGAATGTAAATCTTTATGGGAACAGAAAGCCTCATCTTTCTCCTGATGAAAGGCTGGTAATTTTGAACTGCTGACCTTGTGGTTGGCAGCCCAACTTGTAACTTACTAGGGCTAGATTAATTTTTTTCATGAATTCTTTTTTAAAAAGTTACATATCCATGAATTCAATATTAATTTTAAATGTATAAACTTGACTTGGCAAAGTAAATGCCTCAAAATATTGGGGAAAAAATTAATGTTATTTGCCACTATTGTCCCCCATCAGTGCCCTGTGATACTGAAAGCTAAAAGTGATAGCATGTTGAAGAATATCATCACATCCCAGAAATATAGGCCTCATAGAATCCGAGTGTGAGTTCTGACCTGCTCTCAGAAAGGTTAAAATTGTGGTCTTGATCCAGACTGCCGGGCTTCACTCGTGGCTCGGCTACTGCCTGGCTGTGTCCTCGGACAAGTGACCCCTCAGTTTTCTTCATCTGTAAAGTGGGACTGGCAGTAATACCCACTGCCTTGGCTTCCTGGTAGTGCTAGAATAGCAATATCACAAATACATGGCTTTAACAAACCAATTCATTTTCTCACCTTCCGAGAGGCTAGCTGTGTGAATTCAGGACACCAGCTCTCGTTAAAGAAGGCCTCATCTCTGCCCGCTCTCAGGAAAAGCCTTAGCGTCCCAGGCTCCATGCCTCCCTTCCTCGGACACCTCTACGGCACCCTTCCCTCATTCGTGCTTGTTCACTTCTATGCTTAATTGGCACTTTTTAAGCCTCCCAGTGGTTTGGTTTAGGACAGTCTGAAATCACCAGCAGCGCTTTCTGTCCCCATAGTGTCGCAGTCTGGGAACTCACAGGGCAGCTCTACCCTGTCCTATAAGGCCACGGCGAGTGGCATTGACTCAATGGCAGTGAGTTTCTTTCCTGTTTTTAAACAAATCAATGTGAAAACGCTGTCTTAAAGGAGCCCTGATGGTGTAGTGAATTAAGCATTGGGCCACAGACATTCTGCTAAGAAAGATAAAGCTGTCTGCCCCAGTAAAGATTTAGTCTCAGCCACTCCAAGGAGCAGCTCTACTGTGTCCGACGGGGGAGGATGGCAGTGGGCTTGGGGTTTGTATAAACGCACGAACAGGGAGAAGCTGAGTTACTTGCTCAAAGGCAGTCAGTACTGCCGGGGAACGAGGTCTAAAATGCACCTTCTGAGCCATGGCTACCCTCTGCTGCTTCTGTTTCCCATTACATGTGGAGTAAAAGGCTAATTTCCACATGGCTACCTGGATCTGACTGGCCTACTTCCTGGCTCCTTCAGCACTAAAAGGGTTGGTGGAACCCTGGTGCCTTAGTGGATTACGTATTGTCTGCTAACCTTAAAGTCCGCCGTTCGAAACCACCAGTTGTGAGAGAAAAATGAGGCTTTCTACTCCCATAAAGAGTTATACAGTCTCGGAAACCCACAGGGGAGTGCTACCTTGACCTGGAGGGTCACTGTGAGTCAGAATCAACTCAATGGCTGCGTTTGACTTTGTGATGGGGTCGGTAGCCTTCCAGAGAACAGTTCCATTGAACCATCTTCATTAACTGACAGGGAGTTAGTGGTTTTGCTCACTACTAAATTCCCTATGGATAGCACAATGGGAATTCAGTTCTCAATGCAGTTGAAAGAATATGAAAGAGTGACAGGCACAGAAATGTAAGCAGAGACCAAACAAATATTGATTTGAGGTAAAAATTTAAAAAGGAGCCCATGGTGGTGCAGTAGTTAAGTGCTCAGCTGCACCCAGAAGTCAGTGGTTCAACTGAGAATCTGAGTGGGAGAAAAACGTGGCGTCTGCTCCCATAGAGAGGTGCAGTCTCTGCTGTGTCCTACAGGCTTGCCAAGAGTTAGAATCGTCAGGACTGTGTAAGTAAAATACAGGATGGTAGTTGGAGGTACTTTAAAAGAACTGACCCTTGTTCTTTTAAAGTAGTAGATATGCATTATCACAGAAACCAGAAGATGCTGGGACTGGAGGCCGGGTGGGTGCCCCTTCTTCATGGGGCATAGTACACCCCAAAACAGATCTGGAAACTTCTACTCTTTACATGCACCATCACATTGAATCCCCACAAAAAACCTCACAAGGCAGGTGTTATCATTTCCATTTTATAGGTAAGAAAGTGAGATGCACTAAAGTCACAGGTGGTAACAGTCACTTCTCGAACTCAGGTTCTGCAGACAGAGCCTCTTGTAGAGATGGCAATGATACACAATAATGAAGACTGTTTTTAAAAATTGGGGCACAATTGGTGTCAGTTAGCTAGGATATACAGATTACCTGCTTTACAAAGGTTAAATGGATAGTGGAATAGACCATCCGTGGAACACAGGAATAGAGTGAATGAACCTTGTTACATCGGATGTATAACTATTTGTCATTCCTCTTCAGGCTTCAGGTTTGAGCAAGCACAGGATACAGTATGTGACTATGAAGATGTACCAGAGAGTCACACGAGACTACCAGATAAGCAATCATATGAAAATACTTATGTAAAATCAGAGTTTCCTAGACTCACACCTGATTCTACTTATGGACTGTAACTTTAACGTTCTCCTTTGCGTCTTTCAAGCCCAGCATTTTTCAATTATAGCGAAGAGTTTATTCCGCCTGCAGTGACCTGTGTATTCTTGGCATAGAACCTAGCTCAATTAAATAAGGAAGGTTGAGCAAAGAAATGTGGAATTTGACAGCGTGGTCATGGGAAATGTAGAAAGTAGCCCTGCTATTCTGAGAATGTAGTGTTCTGATACTTAAATAAAGTTCTGATACTTAGGTTCAAACATCTTCAGATTTATCTTCATTTGAAGCATTTAGTGTTACGTACCATTTTTCTATTTATTTTTAATCCAAATGTTCTTTGCATCTTCCTTCCCTTTTTGCCTATTTTCATTTTTCTACTCATCTTCACTGTTTTTCTCTTTTCTGGTATGTTTTTTCCCTCCTGATTTTTTGTCTGCTTACACAACTTTCTTTCATTTCTCTCCAAGTCACTCTCCTACCTGCTTGTTAGTTTTTTGGGTTTTTTCTTTTTAAGATGGTCTTTATGTGAGAAGCCTTTAAAAAGTTTAGGGGAAAATGGAGTTAAAAAACAATGAATTTTCCCCAAAACTTTTTAAGCTCCTTGTGTTTTCTTGTTTACATTTCTCTACTTACCTCCATTTTCTTTCCTTTTCCTTTCTGGGTTCTTGCCCTAACCAGTCCTTTGAGGGACCTGCAATTGCCTTCTCCTCCAGCCCATTTTACAGGTGAGGAAGCGGCCTGCAGCAACTGTCCACCTTCACAGCTCACCCACTCACTGCACCAAGTCAGTTCTGACCCACAGGTCCTAGCGGGTAGGAGAACTGCCCCTGTGAGCTTCCCAGACGGTAGCCGTATGGGAATAGAACTTCCTCATTCTCCGCAGAGCTGCTGGTGGTTGTGAACTGCTGACCTTGCAGTCAGCAGCCCAAAGCATAGTCACACCACCACCAGGGCACGGCTAGTCATTAAAAAAAGCAAGACCAACCAGCCAACCACAAACCCAGTGAGCTATGGATTCTAATTCAGTGACCCCATAGGACAGAGGCCTGCTCATAGGGTTTTCAGTCTGTCAGTCTTTCAGAAACAGACTGCCACCCATTTCTCCTGTGGAGCAGCTGAGCACTTTACCACCCTTTGGTTGGCAGCTGAGCATTTTAACCATTGTGCCAATGGGACTCCTCCCAGCTAGTAATTAGCAAAGTCAAATCTTTATTTTCATGCA